AAAAAAAAAAAAAAAAATTAACATCTAATTTTAAACAAACACTTTCCAGTGAACCCTCCAGAATAAACTAGTTGTAAAATGTGCTCCTATATAAGGTCCACTTAAGTACTGGAGGAATGCTGTCCAAAATAATAAATTTAATTTTGGAGTTGTTGATCTTAAATTCATTCTGTCAGTAGTTAGATAGCAAAGCCAGTCGTCTACTGACGAGCTCCAAGCTTATGGCGAGGAAGCATTCATCATCAACATATACACAACACTTCTATTCCCTATAAGACACCCAACTCATCCAGAGGTGGTATCAGGCATTAAAACACACGTTTAAAAATATAGGTCTTAGGCTGGGTTCTCCAGGAAGCTGACTCTGAGACAGACTTGTGTGTAGGAAATTTATTGGGGAGAGCTGTCAGATCAACACCTACAGGGTGGCAACAGAAGGAGGACTGGGCAGGCAGAGGCCATTAGCTGTAAAGCAGTCACAACAAAGGCCTTGGCAGCTCCCATGGGGAGCTGTGGAACCAAGGTGGCCCCAAAGGGTTATCCAGCCTTGAGGCAAGGAGGCCAGGTCTTTGTATCCTCGCACCAGAGCAGTCACTGCAAACTGGCTGCCCCAGGGAAGGGGAGTGACCACGGGCAAACTGGCCTCTTTGGCTGAAGGTAATTTTCACAGGGAGCGTCAGCTGAGAGATGTCAGCCTCCAACACTTCCAGCAGCGAGGGAGCAAGTGCCTCAGTCCTGAAGGGAAGCTGGGTGGCATATCACAGTGTCCGCTACAGCAGCCAATACACACCCATTTCACCAAACTCAAAAGGGATGTCTGACCTGCAAGAAAACACTCCTACCTGATCTAACTCTCATTCTATTAAATAAACTCTTTTACAAGTCAGTAGCCCAGGGCGTAGATTGTGCCCATATTGCTTTGCCCATACTAAGTATTCACAAAACTGCAATAAAAACTGTAAAAATAATCTTAGGCAGTTACCAAAAAATTTATTTCACAGTGCAAACCACATATCAAGAAACCCACTGACTAGTTTTGGCACGGCTAGAAGCCTAGCTGTTCTTCGTGAGGAACAATGGTCTGAGAACATCAGAATTCTCTAGAAAGAACTATAAAAAGAAAATACATAAAACAAAATTTAACACCAAAAACCTTCCAAGTAACTTTCCAACACTGGAGTATTTGTTTAAATCACATTTCCCTTTGTCCTCTTTAAAAAAATGAAATTAGTGTCCCAATGGACAAAGTGATGAACAAGAGTTAGATTCTGGGTTTCTCCCTGATTCTCCTTTTTAATATATGCTCACAATCTATCTTAATTTATGCTAACAGTTCAATCAAAACACACCCTCTGAGGACCTACTATTATGAGACACCCTGCTTGGTATTAAAAGCACAGAGATGACTAAGACATTCACCATCTAGTACAGAAGACAGACATGTACACAAGTAATTATAAATCAGTCATACACTCACTCAACAAACATATCCAAGCACCAACTATGTGAACAACATAGACACAGTTCTATGCATATATGGGGCTTATATGCAATGTGACGAGCGTTGAAAGGGAAGACTACTGAAGATGCTAGTCTCTGCCTCCACCGGGGAGGGAGCGCCACAGAAAGCTTAGTAACAGTAAACTTAATAATATTAATAATAATAAAAATAACAGCAACTAACTTTTATTGAGCGCTTAAAAAGTGCCAGGCACATATATAATTGTATTACTATTTAGCTTTCAAATCAATCCTCTGAGGTCAGTATTATTAATATTTCGTAGATACAGATGAGGAAACTAAACCATGGAGGAATTAAGCTGAATCGAGGTCTCGCAGGTGGTAAGTGGTGGGCCTGGGATTCAGGGGGGAGAACTTTGGAACTGAGCCTTGAAAACTAAGTAGGAATTCACCAGATGGACACCAAAGAAAAAAAAAGAGTGGTGAGAACCCTCCAGACACAGGGAAGTGCAAGTACAAAGACAGAAAAATGGTCAGAACACACAAGTTCAGCCTGCACGTAGGCTGCTTGTGGGAGAGTAACCACAGTCCAGGCCTGAAAAATGGGGCAGCGGGGGACGGGCAGACTAAGAAGTGAGTCGTGTGCCCCCACAAGGAAGAGACTGCAGGGGAATGATGTCAACTTTGTTATTTAACAATATCAAAAAGAATGAAAATGGCTAACATTCCTTGAGGGTGTCCTATAAAACAGACAAGGGCTAGATACTTACACACGTGATCGCATTTTAGCTTCGCTACGACCTTCTGAGGAAGGTACTACTATTATCCCATTTTACAAGTGAGAAGACTGAGCTTTAAAGGGAGCAACTAGTTGGTTCGAGGTTCTATGGTTTATGAGTTATAGAGCTGGATCCCAAACCCAGGAACTGAGACTTCAGAGCCTTTGTGCTGAGCTGCCTTCTCGCCAGTGCTGGGGCTGGAGGAGAGGAGATGGGAGGACCGTGTACACAGAGGTAGCAACGAAGACCAAGGTGTGGCAGCAAGAAAGAAGGAAGAGTCGTGGATAACAGCCGGCTGTCCAAAGAGGCAGCGATTCCAGTGACCAAGAGAACGAGTAGGACAGGCATGGAGAGCTGGGGAATGGAGAACGAGGGAAGGTGCTGAGGTCTAGGTCTCCTAGGAGACAAGAGAAGGAGCCAGTGGGCAGCCACATATTTAGGTCTGGAACTAAGGAAAATAATCGGCCGTGAAGGTACAGATCGGCCACAGAGAACACGTCTGAAGGCATGAGAGTGGCTGAATCTGTCTAAGGAGAGTCTAAAGAAGAAGAAGAGGAAATAGTGATGAATAGAAACCTAAAAACCCCAACTATTCAGGAAAGAATCCATTGTCTTATCTGTAAAAATAAAGAGATATATCCACCTTTTTTAGAAACCTACTTGGGAAAGGGCTTCCTTTACAAGGCAGGTTGTCATTACTTTTGCAAAAAAAAAAGTTGGTTTTGCAAAACCAACTTACTCTTTACCACACGTGAGGTTCTGAATTACACCCGGGTGGCATATTTCTGCTGAAGAGGATTAGCTAGCTGAATGGTGTACGCATTTAATAAATGACAACAGTACAGACAGTTTATCAGAGTTATCACCACATTTGCTTGGCCACGCTGAGCCCGTGTGGCCAATGTCAGTAATTCCACTCTGGGCACACGCACTGCTGGCTTTGCTTACAGCACTCCCGGGACATACTGTTTTCTAGCCTTATTTATGTTCTCTAGCCTTATTTATGTTCTCTCTTCAGTCTTCACCCTTCAGCCTAAAAAATTATCACAGTACGGCTTACCTGCCTTCTCAGGAATCTGCACAAAAGGCCATTTCTCCAGTTTCTCTCTCTTGAAAGCAAAGGAAAACTTCTCAGTGTTAACATGTAGCAAAAAGAGGGGAAAAAAAGCCTATTTGGTCCGCCCTCGCTGGCTGTTGCTACCTTGCAGTTTATGACACACAGGGAGAGGGAGGTCTGATGAAGTGAACGAGGCAGCCAGAGAGCTACTCGATTCCCGTGGAAACCAGGAGCCTCTTGGTGCGGAAGGAAGGCTCTTCCTACTTTCCTGTGCGGTTCTTTTGTGTGACTTTGAGGGGCTCCTGAGTGATTTCTAAACGTGCGCCTGCTGAGGCGAGCCGCACGGGGAGGGAGGAACCCAGCCAGCTGAGCGGTGCCAGAGGAAGCCAACACGAGCCTCAGCCTCGCAGTGCTGGAGCTGGCTCGGCTCTTGCATGCAGTTTTTGAAGTCAGCAAAACAGAAAGCAAATTACTATCCTATTATGCTGGTGGGAGCTCGAGGAGAGGGGACTCTACACCGCCTTAATTACTATGAGAGATGCAACGAGTCACAGGATAACAAGGGTATCTCATGTGTGCACCCTGAAGACAAATGTAAGTTCTCATGCTGCTATATTTTATATTGCTGTGTAATTTTCTTTCTGGTTTGAAATCATGCTTGGCCAAAATGTAATCGTTTCATTGAGAATTTCTAGTGTGGAAAGTTGTCTGCTAATCTTTACTTAAGAGTTTTTTTTTTCCCTTTTGTTAACTAAGCAACATAATATGAGCTAAAATTCCTGACAGCAGCTATGGCAGTTCAGCCTAAGACTGACTGAGAACTATAACCCAAAGTACATCCAATTACTATGGGATTAACACTGGGTGTATTTTTAATTGACTTTCTTAATGTAGAATGCATACATCCCCCCTGTTTCGGATTGCATGCTATTTTAATGTTGCTGTGGCTAAGCTAGTGTGATTGACATAGCCAACAGAATGAGATACAGCTAAAATGAGATTCCCAGTAGTTACAAAACTTTTCTTCTTTGGCCAGGACCACATTTGTCTCCCCGAAAGCTCAAAACTCTGCAACCTCTATGCTAAAAGTTCATTCTGCTTTTTTGCCCTTGCTTTGGTGGAAAAAAAAATAAAACCAAACAGTGGACT